GAAAATGGGGAAGAAACCCCAAAATTTGGGTTTAACATTGCCAGGGGTCCTCCGTGAATGCGGGTTTTAATGACCTGGACCTACGTGAACGCGGTAGGTCTCCTGCGAATGGTCAAGACTCCGCAAATGCAGGGTTCTCATCCCTTGAATCCAACGGAACTCTCGAAATTCTGATCTGAGCATCCGAACCCCGAATATTGACCAAAGTCAACCCAAAGGCTTAATTACCACAATTTCACAACTTAGGACCTCAAATCCTCAAAAGGACTCAGAATTTGAAACTGAAAACTCACACAGATCAGATTTCACATTTCTGAACTGATGGAATCTACAGAATTCCATTTCAACACTTGAAACTCCAAAAGACCCCAAAAACCACTTTCTTAACAACTTAGTCTTTAAAACTGACAAACTTACCAAAATCTCATCTTTTAACCCAAAGTTCAAAACCAACTTTTCAAACTCAATCATAAAAGACTTGGGGTCGATATCGGGAGGAAAAAAATGATAAATTCTGGAAACTTTCCAAAAATGACCGACCGGGTCATTACATTCGCTTAGGAAATTGGATGTCAATAATGCATTTCTACATGGGCATTTATCAGAAGAAGTTTACATGTCCCAGCCACTTGGATTTGTTAATGAGAAGTTTCCCAATCATATTTGTCAATTACACAAGGCTATCTATGGCTTTGAAGCAGGCTCCATGCCGCTGGTATGATGAACTGAAAGCCTATCATTTGTCTCGTGATATTCATCATTTTTAGTGTGATCATTGTCTTTTCATCTATGCAAAATTTGAAGTTATCATCTATCTAGTTGTTTATGTTGACAATCTCATAATTACTGGCAATCCGTCTCACAGTGTTGAAGAATTTGTCAAACGACTTGGGTCTTGGTACTCGGTTCTCCATAAAAGATCTTGGTGATGTGAATTATTTTTGGGTGTTAAAGTCATTCGTTCACCTTTTAGTCTATTTCTTAACCAACAAAAATATGTATGTGAGATACTTGAAAGAACAAACATGGCAGATGCAAAACTAGTGATAAGACCTACCGCTTTTGGTTCATGCCAAGGTTCTAAAGATGGTCCTCCTCTTGAAGATCCAACACAATACGGGAATGTAGTTGGAAGCTTATAGTGATGTTTACTCGTCCGGATGTTGCTTTTATAGTCAACAAGTTGTCTCAGTTTACAAGCTGTCCCACGACAACTCATTGGACCATGGCAAAATGTGTCTTGCACTATCTAGCTGGGACATTAGACCGTGGTCTATTTCGTAGGAAATAATTTCCTTTCTTGCTTCATGCCTTTTGCGACTCTGATTGGGCTGGTGATCAAGATGATCGCTCGTCTACTACAGCCTATGTTGTGTTTCTTGGCTGTCATGCAGTCTCATGGAGTTCTAAGAAACAACGAGTTGTGGCTCGTTTTTCGACGGAGGCAGAATACAGGGTCATTGCCTCTGTCACTGCTGAACTTTATTGGGTGCATAATCTTCTCAAGGAGTTGTCTGTTACTCCCACTAAAACTATAAGCGATAAGCTAAACAATGTAAAATAAGGCTACGTAGAAGGAAAATAGACAAGGCGTGGGGACGCAGTATAAATATATACATTATGGTACAAAATATACACTAGTGGCCCAAAAGTGACCAAAAAAGACGAAATATATATAAGTAAAAATAGCATATACCAGAAACCTGTTCGAGTGTGATTTCAGCCTTGAGGTAGGTTATGGTCTTTGACTGGACACAAGTATAATAAAAAATCACTACCGTGAAAATTATAACCGTGCTATGGAATTCCCAACTTTGACTGGACACAAGTATAATAAAAAATCACAAAAAAAGTCAACCTTTGTTAAATGGAAATCTCCAGTTTCAGGTTTCAAATTAAGGGTGTGTTTGGTATGAAGGAAAACATTTTCCGGAAAATGTTTTCCAATTTTCTCATGTTTGGTTGGGTTAAATGTTTTGGAAAATGTTTTCCAAATCAACTCATTTTCCTCAAATTCAAGGAAAAAGACTTCCCTTCAAAAATCAAGGAAAACATTTTCTAAAACTTTCCACCAATTTCAAATTACAATTTTTTTGTTGAAAAAATCAAAAAAAAATTTTGATGAAAAAGTAAATTTAAAGCTTATTTTAAAAAAATATTTTTCAACTTCAATTTTTTTATCCCACCCTCACCCCGACCCACCCCCCTCCCTCCA